ATTATTATTATTATTTCATTAATTTGTTGTTATCATTATTATTAGTTTGATTATAACAATTAATCGTTATTGTTACGTACCTTCTAATTTGAAATTTTTCGTAAATTTCTGTTTGTTGTAAAAAATAAAACTAAATTTATTCTTTTTTTTGTAAAATTAATTTTATTACTTCCACGGATTCATTCAATAATGAATGTTTAGTGTTATCTAGTATTTTTTTTTTTTTTTTTTTTTTTGCTGTAATAAAAATATGTCTTGAGCTTTTCTTTTCCCAATTTCTGTTTTTTCATCATTTTTAGACGTGAAAAGAAATAGCATATTGATAAGGAAAATGTATGTTGTATGTTTGATATCATTTATTTTTGCATTTCTTTATTTGTTTTTTTTTCCAAATGATTGAAATTTTAGATATTTTATTGAAATCGAAGACGTCATCCCAAAGGGTAACAGTGGTACGACAACGTCGCATTAACCGTATGTTTTAGTTTCTTTGTCTTAATTTGATTTATATGCTTTATGAGTAATTTTTTCAATCAAATAAATTTTTAAAGAGTTGAATTACTAAATATGTTTCACATGAATTTATTCTATTCACGTTTTACGTCATATGGCATCAACCTGAATGAATTGTGAAAAGAGAAAGGATAAAGCATCTTGAATATTAGATTAATAAATTTTCTAATATGTGATTTACATGGGATATTATCTCCGCTTACCCGTTATTGGAAGCTATCATAAATGTTTTTGGGAATAGTATTAAAATCATTATTATCACCATAACTGTTACGATCACTCATTGTTATGTTATCATTAACTGGAATGAGAATTTTGATAGGAATTAGTAATTTCACTCGTGAAAGAAATGTTTTTATATGGGTCTGTAAGATAAAATTATTTCCTGATAGCCATTGCAGAGTTCTGTTTAAATCTGTGCAAATATATATATATACAGATTTTTTCTCCTATTTCAGTCGTTAAAATTGTGCATTTTTCAGCTGCAATAAGTAAAGTATTTGGTGAAGTGTACAATTCACGTGGAAAATTAAATGATATGTACCGTCGGAAAGCTGTTAATTCGTTACATATTACGGAATCTATACCGGAACACATCACACAACTTGACTTCATATCGCTAATTCCCAGCGAACTTCGAACTGATCAACGGATCGTTATTGATTTGGTCAAACGTTTATCGGAAGCAGCCCGACATCGTCAGCGAATTGCTCGTGCTAATTTCATATATCGTAATGAAGCACAACGTTTGTCAGAAATTTTCCGGTTAGCTATAAATAATAATATTTCAACATTTTTGAAGTAAAAAAAAAAAATGAACTCAAAATGTCTAGTTTTTTTTTCCCCAATGTTAATTCATTTTATCATTTTTATTTGCGTCAGTTTTTTTCTCCATTTTATTTTATGTTAGTTTTTAGTACCTAGGATAAGACGATCCTGTCGTTGTATTCAAGATTTGAGACAAGATTTTTTTTTGATTGAATAACGATTTGACATTTTGTAAAGAAAATAGCATTTGGAAACAAAACCATATCTAGCTTAGAGAATGCAACAGATTTTTTTTTTTTCTTGAAACGAATTATGATTTGTCTAATTTTAGTATGAGGATTATTTTAGAAGGATGCTATTGTATATTTTGCAACTTTACCTGACCATTTATATTATAGTGAATGTGCACATCGTGAAGATCAATGCGTTCGGCTTGCTAAATTAATCAGTGATGTGCGTAGCGAACGTCAATGGAAGGGTAGTATGCCAAGTGTTGAATGGTTTTTGCGACGTAAGAAGGGTGTTGTTTCGTCGAAGGCTGAAAAAATGGGTTAATTTGCTTTAATTTGCTCCTTTCTTTTTCCCTTTTTCGTTCCTCTTTGTTTTGCAGAAATTTCCATGTGTGTGCATGTGTGTATGTATGTGTGTGTGTGTGTGTGTGTGTGTATGTTGTGTATGTGTATGTATATGTCCGTGTGTGTGTGTGTGTGTGTGTATGTGTGTGTGTGTGTGTGTGACATAATTTTCATCAAAGTTTTTAACAACATTCTCTTATATTGAATAAAATATATGCTGAGAATTACTAATATTTACTTGAAAGAATGACTAAATGGAAATCTGTGCGAAAATATATTAATATATGTTGTGGTTAATAGATCTAGAATAGTTAGTTATTGGTTTATAAGTTTAGAAGTGTATTTCAATTGTATCTCTTAGATGAATTGGGTGATCTAGTTAATCCTGTAAACAGTGTTGCAGTATTTTTTTTTCGTTTTATTTGTAATTCAAACGCATTTATTTACATATAAATTCATACTTATCTTCATTTTTTGCTATGATTTCTAATTCCAACTCTTTTCTTACTCCAAATATCTTGAAATAGAATTCTATAAACAGAATATTTTGATTTCTGACTTCTTTTCTTACTTTACATTCTCATGATTTCAAAAACGGATCAATAAAACATAGTTTATTGTTGGTGAGGCAATCGTAATAAATAGGTATGCTCGATAAATTGTAGAAAATTACGAAGAAGGGAGCAAATTATTCATCATTCCTTATCCTTTTTATTCATATTTTCAGCGTTTACACGTTAAGCCTCATTTTTAAGTTTTGTTCTTGAAAGCGTTATAAATTAGAAATATCTTAATGAAAGCTTTTCCTGTTAAATCGGTAAAAAGTGCAAAAAAGTATTAATAAGTAGTCATTGACAACATATGTCGCATTCTTGTTTTAGATCAACAAGCAGCTGGTCCGGCAGCTCCGAATAAACTTAAACGTTTGTTAGAAATTTCCAAAACTTCAAATGGTGATGAGGAACGATTGAAAATACCAAAAAGTGTAAATTCTTCAATTTTATTTTCTATCTGTTCTTTGTTTATTTTTCCATCCGTGTTTTAATTGTTGACTTTTTGTGTTTTATCATATTTTTTACTCCTCTCCTGCCAGTACTTTTCCGTCAAATCTGTTACGTATATCGAGATGTGTAAAAATTGACATTTAGGAATGTGAAATACTTGTAATTAGTTCAATTTCTTTTTCTTCAGGAATTCGAATCACCTGATGAATCCGGCAGTTATACAGATTATTTGAAACAAGTTTTTTTGAATTCAACACCGGCAGATTTTCCTCACGACGAGAAGCAAGACTTGGAGGCGAAAATTGAACCGGAAACGCCAACAGGAACACCTACTGCGATGGGAAGTCCAAATGGTGTCAGCACTACTATTATTAGCACCGAAGAACTGCATTTTCCAAGCAGCTCTAATTCGGAATCAGGTAAGCTTTTGCAAACTGTTCTTTTTTTCCATATAAATCCAGAATTATATGATTCAGAGTAGGAAAAATTTCTGTTCCATA